AGAGATTTGCGGACAATGAAGAAGTAATCGAAGCTGTAAATGGTTATTTTGAGGAGCTTGACGAATCAGTCTATAGAGATGGCATTAATAGACTGGAACACCGCTATGAGAAATGTATCAGCCTTGGAGGAGATTATGTTGAGAAATAAAAAAAAAAAATGTTTAAAAACCTTGTTTTTCTTGGTCAGGCCGGAAACTTATCAATCCACCCTCGTATCTACCGAAATAAACATAACGGAACATATTTTGGATATTTGGGCTTCTTCTATAACGCGAAATCTCTTCCAGTAAATAGAATATTCTTTTGTTTCCTTAGCATACAAAGGGATTATTTTTTTATTACCAATACCAAGACTGGGACTAAAAAATCAATACATTTTCTGCTATTGTACACAGCTCATTGTCGGTTATTTTGTGTCTAATATTTTTCTTCTTAAACTGGTATTTAGTATTGTCTTCCTTCACTTTAATGTCCCATTAGTTTAAAAGTTAAGTCGCACTCTAGAACTCGTTTTATTAAATTACATGTATTTACTTTTAATTTTTATTTTAAGGTTATTATGTAGAGAACGAGAACAATGTCTTCCAAGAACGCGGGTAACTACGTATATACGTTAGCAATTAGTCGCTTTACGTTTCATTAAAATTTAAACATTTTTAATTGTTTTACTTTCCGTTTCAGGATTCTTTTTGTTCTGCTGTGAACGTGGATGTAGCGAGGAAAATTACCCCGGTCGCTGAGTTCTTCCATCTAGAATTACAGGTTTGTTACATTCTTTGTAATTTTTATTTTAACCGCCTCATACATACAAATATATGCGCTATAATACATGAACTTTATGGTTTCTGGTTATTCTTTTATGATCTGTGACACAACATTACATTATAACGTAAGCGTAATTGTATTATTAGGTATGTTCGGGTCATTTTAGGAAGGCAAGGTCGTCGGTATTTTACACATAAATTGAAAACAAACTACATACTTTACTTACTTACATATTTTATGGTATTTTGTACGTAGGTGTGTATCGTTAGTGTAAGTCAATTTCGGAAGGCGATGTTTTAAATAAAATTTCAGCACAAATCCTTCTTAGAAATGAATTGTTTACTAATTTCTTGTGACAATCCTATACACAAGAACAAAAATATTTGACAAAATAAAAAGAGAGACTGTTGTATGCTGAATAATGTGTAAAACATGGTTGTAAACCTCTTCTATTGCAATTAATGGATTTACTATTGACTTCGCCTTCTTAAACTGACTTGAGTATATCTTTCTTAATTCCATTGATTTTGAGAGTATATCTCACAAATTTCTCATTTTATAGCTAGCAGAATCTACATTTGCATATTCAAAATTTATCTCGAATATGGATAAAACACTTATCGTTTGACCTATTTTTATAAGCTTATTGTTACTGCCGCGTAAAGTGAAACTTCTGAAGAAGCCGCAGTGCAATCCTATGCCTAATTATCGGATAATTAATGATTAAAATTGAAACCAACTAAATTAAATGAACTTGCTTTTTACTGCAAATAGAAATGAATAAATTTTTTGACACCTGTTTTTATATAAAAAATGACACTGATTAGTTTGTTATTCCTGCTATAGAACATTCAGCATGCAGGTAATAAAATTTAAACGTTTCAATGTTTTAATGCCGCACATATAAGCGAACAATATAACAGAACGTTTAGAAATCATCTGTATTTGATGTTGCACTTATCGTATTTTGTAGTGCATTAAATATGACCTTAACAAATCATTTTTAAAGAGAAGTAGACCACTTAGAAGTATCTAATTCGCTAATACGTTTAGCATGGAAAAATTCGGTAATGACACAAATGCCTATTTTGTTTTGTCTTACAATTACTACCTACTTAAGGCTATTTTTTATTAGAACTAATCACATTATTATTTCGGAGTATTTGCAGTCCAAATGAACTTTTTACTTGCCTATAACGAAATAAATATCTGTTGTAACAAACAGGTTATTAGCAATATATAGAACAGAACTAAAATTTCAAACATATCTACACATATAGCTACAATTGCTTAAACGATTTTATTAAATGATAGTTTAAAGAGTGGAAATCACATTTCAATTAATTTAACAATTAATTAAACAATTATTGCGTAAGTAGTGCCCGATTATGATTGTGTAGTGCTGTTTTTGTAACGTGTTCAAAAGCTTTTCATGCTTCAGATGATATTGAGCAAATATAATACGTTTTGAATATAAGAAACAAGTGAACGTTAATCAGAACTTTCATAAAATCAGATTATGCAACATTATCCCTGCGTTTGTTGTTTGTAAATTGCGCGAATACATTCGCTATAAATTGAAAATATTTTTATTACTCTTTTATTTCGAAATTGCTAGTAAACAAAGGTGAAAAACACGAATAAAATAAAAAAAGTAACTTTACCATATTACAGATAGTATCTAAGTTATTTTAAATTATATTGATATTTTCAAATGGGGAATTTTATAATCTCATACAAGGGTTATGTAAAGGGAAAGAGCGAATATAAAGAGTGGGAAACGAAAAATTAGAAGAAGTGACCGATTTTAGGTATATAGCAAGTCAGATAAGTCAGGACGGAAGGAATAGTAGGGATATAAAGCAGAGGAAATAGCAGGGTCGAGTCGCCTTCAATAAAAAGAAGTCACTTCTAAGCTCGCGAACGGTTAATTTAGAAATTCCTTATTAATGGTGTATGTTTGGAGCACGGCGCTGTATGGGTGCGAAGCATGGACAGTAGGCGCGGCGAAAAAGAAAAGGTTAGAAATAAAGAGGTATTAGAAAGAATATGAGAACAGATCTCTATGGAAGTGAATAAAAAATAGGCGACATAGATTAGTAAGACACATGAAGGTCTAGTCAGAGATATTAGAGGCAGAAACGGAAGTTAGGAGGGGTAGAGGTAGACCTAGATTAGATTACTGTTCGCAAATAGTTAAGGTTGCTCTAGCTTTAGGAAAATGCGAAGATTAGCTCAGGATAGGAAAGATTGGAGGTGCGTGTCCAACCAGTCTTAGGACTGACGACCTTATGATGACGATCCAAGCGTTGTTATAACAACATAGCGAAACTTTGTAGTGTTTAAATTAGATTAACCTAATCTAACGTCTAGTTGTTCAATTAAGTTTATTTATTTTAAAAAGTTTATTCAAAACTTACATGGATAGATAATGAATGCGATAGCCTGATAGCTTGAGCTTCCTTTCTGGATAATTCTAAAAGTAGCTTCCTCTCTGGATAATTCTGAAAATAAAATGTAAATTTAATACATGCATTGCAAAAAAATTCATCGTTAAAAGAAGGGGACATCTCATGAAAAGTTGCATCTAGTATACTACAGCTTTGTGACGTATTTTTTTGCATACAAGGTTTGAGTTTCTACCTCAAAGCTATTTAGTTACATGATTTAAAGAAATTCAAATTTGAATCTTCTGGCATAAATTTCTCAACTGAAAACAAAAACTAAGTCAAGGTTTGATGTCTCGTGATATGCCCACACATCAGACAATTTGCAAACCTCTCTTACAGTCAATGTGAAATTATAATACCAAAGGTGTCATTTGGTGCGGGACAACGAACAAAATAACAAACTTTACACCTTAAATAAATTTCAGCTATTACAATTCACCGTTATCGTCGTCGAATCAATTTACTGGTAATACTTGCACCTAGTCGTTGACATTTTGACCTGAAAATGTTGATGAAAGTTGTTTGTTCTTGGATTTGAACGTTTTAAATTGCGGTGATGCAAAGATCATCATGTAATATTATGAATTGTACTATTACTGTTACTTAAAATACGCTTTATGTCCTTCCTCATTTTGCATTCATACAAAGATTAAAATTAGTGGTTGTTTTGCTTCACGCTAGTCAATATAAGAAAAGGATACCGAAGGAAAAGTATATTTGTTCCGACCAGGGTACATTTACCTGCCGGTTCCTTGAACCATTAAGTTGGAAATTCAAATATTCAATTTTGTTGGTTTTTACAAATATTATATGTAAGTGGTTTAGGTATAATTTTAGGGTATCGAACTTTGCAGGTAACAATATCTTTAAGATACTTTATCTTCAAGTACTTAAATAATATGAGAAACCAGTTGGTTAGCACCTTCACCCCTTCCTCTATCAGGGTGGAGATTATGTTATAAATAGGCTGACACACACATAATAATAAGACAACAAAAATAAGAACAATTAAGACAACAACAAACAACAATTAGTAGCATCAGTGTAACTGTATATTTGTAAATAAATATTACTAAGTGCAGTTATTCGTGTTATTCACCACTGAGGTAAATTATTTGCACTTACAATCCTTCCAAAAATTCGTGTGCTCCCTCATAGGAGAAAGAAGTGGCGCGGCAGCGCAAAATAAATAAAACAATATTATCTACTATTTATTATTAATTTTATCGTTAAAATGTATAGTGTCTTACAGCATTACAAAACTTACTTGTATTTGAATCCAACGATTATACATCGCTTTACGTCTATCATCTTGTAGGTATTCATACAAATTAATATTTTAGTAATCAACTTGAACAACATCTTTTGTGTCAACAGACAATTTTATGGGAAGATTTATGAGAATAAAAAGAAAATTTTGAAATAAAAACGTTTTGTAGGACCTCCTTCATTAATGCTATTACCGATAAGATATTTATTTCTAATATGCAACCTGATGTAAAAGACAATACAGTAATGTTTTCCCTTATATTTTTAACAACGTTCCCTCTGCTTAAAAGTGAAAGGCTGTTAATGGTGTATGTTTGGAGCACGGCGCTGTATGGGTGCGAAACATAGACAGTGGACGCGGCGGAAAAGAAAAGGTTAGAAGTGTTCGCAAGTTCGCAAATATTTAAGGATGTGGGATGTGCTAGTTTTAGGGAAATGCGAAGATTAGCTCCGGATAGGAAAGAGTGGATGTGCGTGTCCAACCAGTGGTAGGACTGACGACCTTATGATGATGGTACTTAAATCATTTTTTTACAATTAAAATCGTTGGGACAATACAAACAATTTTGGGCTGGTACAGACTAAGAAAAAAAACGCTTAGTGCTTTACAGTACCTGTTAGTTTTCAACCTGCAAAACTACTAATTGGAGTTTATGTAATAAAAATTTTGAGTAATATTTTTTCTTGATTCTTATCATTTAAAACTAAAAGACTTTCCCTGTTTCCTTTTGGTTTAAAAAAATCGCATTGCATTAATTTTTTTGGATACAGAGTTTCAAAAGGAAATTGGGTAAATATCTGTGTTTGCTACATGTTTCTATTATATTTGTTAGTAATAATAAATAGAAATCATACAGTTGACTGCGTATCCAAGAAATTCCTTTATGATTGTACGAAATTTTAAATGATAGTTGTACTTATATACCTACTTAAACAGACATTAAATTGTTAAGTAGACACCTCCAACCATCTGAATGTGTGCAGTTAAAAAGCATAAATGCTTTTTCCCGTTACCAACTAGCTCGTAAATCACCGGAAAATGACTATAAACTAGCTAAAAAGGAAAGGAGACATGCGATTAAGAAGTACCGCAGAACGGACTGACGTAAAGCTGCTTTACAAAATTTATTAGGTAATAGCACGTAGTTAACTCGCATATTTGTTGAAAACAATTTTAATATGTCCAGGATTAGGTGTTATTGCAATAATAGCAAAAGATCATTACATAGTAAATACAGATTATGTCAATGTAATGGACTTAAAATGGAAAAATCTCTCTCAGGTGCGTGCCCAACTTGGGTGATTAATATTTCGTACCTTAAATTACATAAATTAATAAAAAGTATCGTTTAGTTTTAAATAATACACCAGTGGTAAGTTTGAGAATTTAACACAAGGATATTCTATTATACTTCATTTACTTTCTCTAGCCATGTGCCCCTTGCAATGTCTTGAATGCGCGTTGGCAAAATCGTAGGTAGGGAGAAAAAAGCTCATTATACCCTCGACTCTTGATCATTAAACATACTTTTTCATACAGTACCTGCCAAAAGTTTTCTTCAATTATGAATAGTAGTGCGAGTCGAAAACAAGCGTTAAAGCCTTTAATACGTCTTCAAATATAAATAAATATCTCGATGGTATTTTTAGTAGTAATTGGTACCAATAACAGCACATTTAAGCAATGCAAATTTAATGGATAAAATGGTCAATTTTTCCGTGCAGTACTGTACGGATTATACGCTTCTCACCGGTTTAGAGTTTGACCGAGAGTTGTCTCCTTTCTTTTCTGGCCTAGTGCAGTTCTTTTCTACTTTGCGCCGGTCAAACTCAAGGTTACATCGCTACAGAAACTAAACGAAGTATAGATGCAATCATTTTTTGAAAAATATGGAATTCTTACAAAAAAATTCCTCAGCCATTTTTAAATATAAACAATGAAGTCTTATAAATGCGATTTAAACCTTTTGATGATTCATTCAAAAATGTTGATTCCACAGTGAAAATTAGTTTTCAGTTAAGTATTTACTTTATATAAATAATAATAATTTATTTATTAATAGTTGGTTGTACTATACAGGATTTTTTCTGAATGATTTTCTGTTCTTTAATTAATTTTTCACATGTCACATACGACTAATTCTACAGTTTCCTTTTTTGGGTTTGTAACATCGTGTTTGTATATCCATACATTTCCTATCAATTCTGGCGTCAAACTTAGTGTGTGTTGAGAATAATTTACTAATCAAGAGGTGCGAATTCCTTCCGGTGAGAATAGAGGATGTGTTAGACAATTATATACATATGCTCCGTTGTTTATAAGCATTTTAAAATAATAATATCAGTTCTTTTAATTTCAGTGATGAATTTGCATCATTCTAAAAATTTTAGTTCAGTTGATAAAACATATTTTATTTTTCATGAAAAAGAGAATTGGGCACTGGCTGTTGTGTGCCTCTAATGACGTAACATTTATCTACAATCTATATTGTAATTAATTGATCTATGTATTATATTTTGTGACCATTAGTGGGTGAAAGACATTTAAGGCTCTCATTTACTTTCATTAAATATTCAATAAAAATATGCAGATTTGGAATTGTAATACACATAATTCGATTGAGTCGAAAAAAAGTAATTGTGTTCCAAATTCTTGCCGTTGTTTACGAGTCTGTTAAACGCGGTATTTCCCAATTCCATGACAGATATTATTCGTGAAAAGTAAGTGTAATAACGGGACCAAAATTGTGGTTCCTATCTACGACTATCTGGCGCCAATAATGCGGCTTAACGATTCAAATTAACTAATCGTAAGAATGCTTAAAAAAAAATAAACGTTCTACTAAGTAATAGATATGATAGAGTTAGAATTTAATTGGCAATTAAGTTTTTATATCCTGAAAAGTACATTTCACACAACAAATATCTTTGTTGCCTATCATATATTTATTATATAGTTTAATTTTGTAAAAAACACACAAAAGAGTAGTTTTCTTAAGTATGCCATAATGATAAAAATCACCAACCTTTTGACGTATTGGACGTATTTAAATGTAAAGATTCGATCATAGATAGGTTGTGGCTAAAATCTATGGAGACTTCTGGAGTGGAGACTTTAAAATACTAATACAGGATCGGTGGATAAAACGGAGGTTAGCGCAGGGTTGTGTCGCCTTCAATAAGAAGAAGTCACTTCTATGCTCGTGAACGATTAATTTAGAAAGTATGGTTAAGGGTGTATGTTTGGAGCGCGGCGCTGTACGGGTGCGAAACATGGACGGTGGGCGCAACGAAAAAGAAAAGGTTAGAACAGTTTGAAATGTGGTGTTACCGGCGAAAGATGAGGATACCGTTGATAAAAAAGGTTAGAAATAAAGAGATATTAGAAAGAGTAAGAGAACAGAGGACTCTATGGAAGTCAATAAGAAATAGGCGACATAGGTTAGTAGGACATCTTCTCAGGCATGAAGGTCCAGTCAGAGACATATTAGAGGCAAAAATTAGAAGGGGTAGAGGTAGAGCTAGATTAGTTTACTGGTCGCAAATAGTGAAGGATGTGGGACGTTCTAGTTTTATACCGAGCGGCATGGCCTAGAGGTCCAGACTATTGCTTAGCATTCGGGAGGACGCCGGTTCGATTCCGGGTCCGTCTGCTTTGGTCCAAGTTTTTCTGTGGTTTCCTTGGATCACTTAGGCAAATGCTGGAGCAGTAATATTCCACAGATAATCTTTCATTCTCTTATGTCTTCATTTCGTCCGTCTCATCTTTCTCACCCGAACCACCACCCACCCATTCCCACGATTCCTGAAAGCGGGCTGACGAGGGCCTTCCGCCTCACCTTCCGGCGTAGTCCGGAGGGACTGCCCGCCCACCAGCATTAGTTGCTGGTGGGAATGAAACACCCAAAAGTTTTTTTTTTCCTAAGCGGCATGGCCTAGATGTTTAGACCATTGCTTAGCATTCGGGAGGACGCCGGTTCGACTCCGGGTCCATCTGCCTTGATCCAAGTTTTCTGTGGTTTCTTAGGATCATTTAGGCAAATGCTGAGGCAGTAATATTCCACAGATAATCTTTCATACTCTTCTGTCTTCATTTCGTCCGTCTCAACTTTCTCACCCGAACCCCCACCCATTCCCACGATTCCTGAAAGCAGGCTGAAGAGGGCCTTCCGCCCTACCTTCCGGCATAGTCTGGAGGGACTGCCCGCCCACCAGCATTACTGGCTGGTGGGAATGAAACACCCAAAAGTTTTTTTTTCCTAGTTTTATGGGAAAGCGAATATTAGCTATCAGGATAGGAAGAAGTGGGGGGTGCGTGTCCAACCAGTCTTAGGACTGATGACCTTACGATGATGATGATTAATCGACATAACAGTATTTTTTCTTGACATTTTTTTATATATTATTGTTGTTATTTTGTTTCAATTCGTATTGATGGCTGTCTTCAACAATCGTTGCCTCCTGGCGCACATCATAATTGAATAAGTATGAAGATTTATATCATTTCAATAAAATCTGGATGACCTTAATACGTCACGTAGAATGTTATTTTTATTATTATTAACCCGAGGCGATTTTCCGTGTCATCACTTTCGTTAGAAAATAAAGCATTACATACAAACATATATTTATAATAAATGTATGTAGGATATAATGAGTAGTTGGCTGTTTCTTCAGTGCAATAGCTACACTTTCATTCCCGTGACTATTAGTCGAGGATGTACGGTTAACACTTAAATGCTCTCATTAACATTTTGTTGGTATATACAGATGTACATGTGTGCATATCTTTTCACATTCTTTTCCAATGTGGTTAATGAAATGAGAGAAAAAAATGCTTCCTACTGGGATAGAAAAAGGAAACTGGCGTTTCTAAACGGAGACAGAATGGCATACAATGAGAAAAGCATTGTTGATTTTATGTGAGAAGTTTTATGAGTGATTATGGAAACAGAGAAAGTAATATTAATATTAGAATAATTTAAAAAATGAATGTGATTTAGAATAGAGTTACAATTCCGATTGACGTTATGGTACATTTGAGCAATTACGAGCAAACTTCTTAAAACTAAGATGGAAAAAGAGCAGTATCGTTCGGTAACTCGCTTTTTGTTTTTGGATGGGAAAAAATGCGAGGAAATGAAAACAAAGTTGGATACTATTTATGGAGACATTTCGCCATCTACGACCACAGTTAGATATTGCTTCAACGAATTTAAACGTGGGCAAAGATCCGTTTTTGATAGGAGCGACCAGGAAGCCTGGCAAACGTTGTTACCGAGGAAATCATTTTACGGATTTTTTAGGAAAAGGAAGAACGATCACTGGACAATACTACAGTGAGTTATTGGACCGCTTCGACAAAAAATTGAAGGAGACACGGACGCATTTGACGAAAAAGAAGGTGCGTTTTCAACACGATAACGCACCGGCACATTCATCAGGAGTTGTTGCCGCCAAAATGCATGAATTACGTTATGAATTTGCTGCCGCACACCCCGTACTCACTCGATTTGACTCCCTGCGACTTCATCTTGTTCCCTACCATGAAGAAATGACTAGCGAGAAAGAAATTTAGCTCAAACGAGGAAGTCATCGCCAAGACAGGGGGGATTTTGGAGAGTTCGATAAATCTTATTTTTTGGAGGGGTAAAAAAAATGGCAGGGTCGTTGGGAGAAGTGTATCTTTCTAAAAGGGGACTATGTTGAAAAATAAAAAAACAAATTTTAAAAAAAAAGGTGTCTTCATGTCTAACACGGTTACTTATTGAACCGCCTTCGTACAATAGAAATTAAATTGGTATGAACCACTGTAAAGAACAAAATTTCTTTGGTTAAAAAGCCAAAATTACGCAAAACCCCATTTTCTTGTACTTGTACCCAGTGATGTGTATTGGATATTCGTAGCCCCAAGCACATGTTTTGGGGGGGTCCCTATTTTTACAAAAATAAACCATTAACTTTATAAATAACCCATCATTTTACAATTTTACATTAAATACGTAACATGAAGGGATCCATGAGTCGAAGGAACAGAAAAGGTATCATGGGGTCTTACTTCGGTTACTTCTCCTCTTTCACCTTTTTTCGATATTTTTTTAAAACAAAACTACTTGTACATTGATAATTTTAAAAGAATTAATAAACGACAGTGAAATATCAAATTAAAAACATCAAAGACATGATCAAAAATACAACAAAATCTAGTATCTATATTAGAAAAATATCATCATTGCAAGAATGGATCAAAAAACGTTACCATAAAAAATATTTATTATACGTATATCCCCAATAACCTTTTAAATCGTCATGTCAAAACAAAACCTTAATTTGAAATAAAGTTTAAACTCGACGACAACAACCGAATTAATGATATTACTTGACCTTGATATGGCTAAGAATATCTACAATATTGCAGTGTAAACGCCCACTTTTATAACTACATTATTGCTAATATTTACATCTATTCAACTATCTATTGGTTAATTAGTCAGTGATACAGTTTTTCCTGGTTCTAGTTTCATTTAACCTTGACAGACTAATGTATGATGTGCATACATACAGCTACAGTAACTGTATGATACCTATTAATAAATAACGTTACTGATTGGATGTTATTCCGGGTTAGGTTCAGATCTACGACTGGTATTAGGCATTCCTGTTGTGTCGCCTATCAAACTAGATCAGTGAGGTAAATGGCTAAGAATTTCTTTATAAAAAAATTCTTGTTGTAAAAATAACTCCTTTGTGTTTTTAAACTCACAGTTACGATATCTAAACGGGCTGCAGTAAATGTAAAAGATTGATTAATAAAAGTCCACATTCAACGATTAATTAATAGTTTAGCTTGGGTGTAACCATATCTTTTGCGTTTTTAGTGATACCTGCAAAGGTATTACGAATTAATAATGAGATTTTAAGAACTAATATTTGAATGTTAGCCAATAATTAAGTAGAATAAAGATCAATTAAACATTTTTTGATTAATATAATAAGAGATATGAAAATTTCTAGGATAATGTTATCCTTATAATGATTATTTCTTTCTAAATTGATTAGAGTCCTTATTTTGCGTGTAATTATTTTTGATTATCTGATACATTTTTTTTATATTTGTTACTGTACTTTTCAAGAAAATCAAATTTAATAACACATAAGTTTGTTATGCAAAATTCTCAATTTGATACATTAAAAAAAAAATTGTGATTTTCAAAATATCAAGAGAGAAAATGAAAAACATTAAAACTTAAAACAGTTTCTACAATTTTTGTTTATAAATATTAGTAGTCAGTACGAATTTAGACACATTACTAAAGACAAAGTCACTACGGTTCATACCCAGTATTCCCTACAACTAGATCTCCGCAAAAGAGAGACAATAATAATTTATGAATGATATAGTGTCATAATTTCGCATAAAGATTGTATCTAATTAGGACACGACAAAGTTTCATAGCGATTTACTAATTTCAACCTAATTCCAGTGAGAAGGAATGATAATCGAAGAAGCTAGAGAGTTCAACTTCCTACGATTTGTATTACAAAAAAAATAATGTAGTTGATGGACTCATAAAAAAACTGAAGAAGAAAAAGAGCCATAAAATACTATATAAGTACTACAAATGTAAAGTGAAATAACATAAAAGTGTATGGAAATAGATGGAAAGTTTAACTTAAAGGCATCGATAGGTAACAAAAGAAGAGAAAATATGAAAAACTTAAAATCCGCATAGGAATACAAGAAAACATTGAAAATGGTGCAAAAAATGGGAAATCCAATTGGACGGAAAGGATGGCTTGAAAAGGATTAGGGAAATCTTATGGAGAAGAAAATATCAGGAAAGCGAGGAGAATAAAAATGTTTAGTTTATAAAATTCATATGTAGGCATGAGTACCTACATGTAAATGCACCATATATATATAAAACAATGTTTTTAATAAAGCTATCTAAATAACTATCAATTTCACCTGATTGTTTAAAAGTTAATGTACTCAAAACAGTTTTAATTGCATCGTCATTAAAATCTATTTCCAAAATTTTTAAAAACTGAAACCATAAGCGTTATCTCTTTTTAAATAAAACTAAATAGGTATTAATTTCCATAAATATGTAGATACTATATTAAAACATACTTATACATTAACTATTGTTTTCGCTTAATAAGACTCGATCACAATATATCTATCAATTGTTACGTATTTGTTTTGTTTTAAATAACAATACCGTAAGGAACAATATTAAGTAATTTTAGCGCTGTTTTACTTATTTATATTTCTTCAAAGATTAGCATAGTTTTCTTTTCTTTCCTTTATAAAGTTACTAGTAGGTACAACTTATAAGAAATAGCGTAACACCTTCTTGTATGATATCAGTGCACAAAAACACAAAAATTTATTCTAAACAAAATACATACATGAGCAGCTATTAAAATTACAAATATTTGACCAGTTTTTATGGAAAACCCATCAAAAATACGTATTCAAACTTACCAGTCGCCATCTGCTTTATTACATTATTATTTATTGTGCCTATGCAGGTATATCAGTCAGCCATTTTGGACAGTCAACAGCTGCAAATATTCCATGCAAGTATCCAATAAATTGATTCCTACACCGATTTAGTTTCACAAATAACATAAACAATTAGACACTTTATCAAAAAATCAAACGTTTTGCACAATTTCCACGTTTATCGTGTCCGTGTTATTCTCACGCCCGTTCATGCTGTGACGACAAACAACGGCCAATGTAGTCGAGTGGCTGGTACGAAGACGATCCAGATGTTTGTTATCAACTTAAAAACTATATTACGAAAGATATTGGCAAAAAGCTCGAGATGACCTCTAGAGAAATAATAGGAAACAACGTTTCGTTTGTGTTGAGATGAATAGAATTTGTAGGAATCTAATAAACACAATAAATATGTGACTAGAATTCACAAAAAGGAAAATTAGCTATAACAAATAAAATTGCGTTAAACGCTATAACCTAAATATCGTACACCATATCGGGTAAAAATAAGCTGTTTTATGTGTTTGTTGGATATTAAAAAATGTATTAAGATAACATAATTCGAAGTGGTCTGTATTCTGTCGAAACTGCCAGACACGGATCGCGATTTCTATCTTTTTTGGATCTCATCAGCGCGTCGCAGGCAGCTCAGACAGAACACAGACCCACTTTTACCTGCTGTCTTAACAGTGCGTTTTAGAAAATACTACAAATGGCGCAGTAAACGCCATCTGTAGCACGATGCTACATTTTAGGATTACGTATGCTCCAACAAGATCCACTTGTGTGGATATCTACTTGCTTAAAACGAATCCCGGCGTAGTCAACCTCAACATGATAGGCACGTTAGCTTAATCGAATAAAATAATTCGAAGTGATCTGTATTCTGTCGAAACTGCCAGACGCGGATCGCGATTTCTATCTTTTTTGGATCTCATCAGCGCGTCGCAGGCAGCCAGACAGAACACAGACCAACTTTTACCTGCTGTTTTAACAGTGCGTTTCAGAAAATACTACAAGATTAAGATACTTTGTGTAGTTTTATGTACTTTGTAATGTTTGTACGTTCACATGATGATGATTACTTTGCAATTAGTTAGATTTAATGTTATATTAACGAAAACATTACGCTAGATACGCAAAAGGACCCTGAAGAGCTGTTTAAATGTATAAAACATTATGTAAAGAAAGTGGTTAATACACTTTTGGCTGTTAAGCATGTTTTTGTCTGTCATTTCTTGCAGTATTCTTTCATTTTACTATTGGTGTGCAGTCCCCGGAATATTTAATCTCTTAGTGATTTTTAATGTTTCGTAGGTACATCAGAATGAAATGAAAAGACGATGCCTTTATAATGTCAGGAAAGTTGAAACTATATAATATCAAAACCATTAGAGTCAAAAATCCCATAATATATTTGTGTAAAGCATTTAATTCAATCAAAATATTTTACTTTTAGAAAGCATTTTGTCAAAGAATAAACTAGAGTCTGGAAGAGTACCCGGTTTGGATCCGCACATTTTCAATGATCCGGCTGGGTACTGCATAATATAGTGTCGGGTAATTCAACCAGAGCGAAAAAGAAATAATTGAAAACATCAAACATTTTGTATTGAAGTTCAAACGGAAAAACTACAATCCGGTTCATCTCCACAACAAATCTAACGACATAAATTTGGAGGAAGCTTCCGGATAATATGGAAATTTACATGTGAATGAAAGTATCACAGCACAAGTAAACGAAAAATTTGAAAATCATTAATTTCCAATTTCATTGATCTCGCTTTCCTTGCTCAGGAGTTTTGAAAGTTACAGTATGAAAAGAGTTAATTGTGCGCAAAAATAGTAAAAAACTAATTATTATATAAGACACATTTGCGGCATGCCATTAAGTGAAGCTATAATTAATAGGGAAAACAAATAAAATATAATTATAAAACTCAAAATCCTAGAAAAAATTACAAAGTATGGAAAGCTTCTTTAAAAACATCAAAAACCATCGGGGACTCTTAGTATTAAAAAAAATATGTTTGATCTGCTTTTTAAAAAGTATTTAGCGTCAATGTTTCATTATTAATTTTTAACAAATTTATTAAATCAAATTTTGCAGATGTTAGGCGTATAATTAATTATTTACTATATTAGATTGATTATCTAGCATTAAACAAGACTTTTGAACGATAGTACAAGCAGAAAATCAAAGAAATACAATATATCTTATTACATATGTAAGTGAAAGTTGAAAGATAATGAGTACAAGAGCTTTGTGCAAGCGCTTTTAATTGCTTAATTTTATAGCAGGAAAGGCGACGTTTTGCGATAGAAACAAGCACTTCCGTTAAAATTTAAATATCGTTATTTTATTATCCTTCGATTCAAAAGAAATATTAATTAATTAAATGCTACATATTAATACTTTTTATTCCCTTCATAACGGATATTTTTCGCAAGAATAGTGGTATTCTTCATTTCATTTCAACAACTTAAAAATTAATCAGTACAGTTAATCTTTTACTAATACATATTATATCGAATTTCTTGGTAATTAGATGCAAATGCATACTCAGTGATCTAGAGCGTTGTAACGCAATATTTATTACTTATAGCGAATAATTAGAAACGTATACTTCTGTATGTATAACCATTCACAAACATACTGTAGATACATGCAGACATTTCTTCTAAAAATTAAAATCGAAATATTACATTACGATACATTTGATACTTATATCAGTTAATCAGATTTTTACTTGTTGTAAATCAATTTGTTGGTACTGATTAGAAAATGTCAATAATCATTGTTATGTAAGATCTAATAAAAAAAGTCTATAAGCAGTGGCGATGTAATCGTAAGACCTGTACAGGCGCAGAACGTATAAAAAAATTCTATTTGGAACACTTATCTAGTAAAATCAATATTTAATAATATTTATTGGAATAATTTTGAAAACAAATCCCTCAGTCTTAATTCAGAGTATTGTTTGGATGAAACCATAAATTTTTCCCATATTTTCTGTAAGAAATTTTCTGAATTAATGAAGTCCTTATATGTATGAATGCAATCCTTTACAGAAATTAGCATCAGAAAAATATAAAAATTGAATATTGTAATACGCCATTTTAAAAAATGACTGTAGGTTTTCAAAGCGGGGCTTTTTCTGTACTATAAGAATTTTCCGGCTTTGTTGACCGTTGTCTTTTAGATATTTAGATGATACTCTTGACGTTTTACCTGCAATTGCGACAGGCATCTTCATAGTCAACTTCGAATGCGTAAATAAAGGGCTAAAAATTAGTTTTGGCATAGTATTCCGTTAGAATATGGAAATATAAGTCTTCAAAAATAATCCTGCTTGAAAAAAGTCACACCCTTTAAAAAAAAAAACCAAAAACCATTAACATATGACGTCTCGGGACAAACAAACGAATATCTCACCAACAAACGAACCAATTGGATTTACAAAATTTCATCGGAATTAAGATTAAAAGGACTATATTACAATGGGTTACAATATGAAAAAGTTATTTTGTATATCGATGACATTTGATACAGTGGATTTCGGCTATAATGACAACGAAGGGACCACTGTAATTTCGTCATTATATCCAGAAGTCGTTACAGGCAAAGTTAAAGAAGATATAGACACACGCTGTTTTTCAATTTTGAAACAATTTTCGCCTTTCTTTAACAGTAAATCTGGAAGTCAAAAGTTTACTGAACACAGTTGCTACTCAGAAACAACGGTAAAGGTCAGTCACCACACTTGTTGACTGTTTGTGTGAATGTAAAAAAAAGGTAAGAAAGCTCTTTGTGTCTTTAGTGGCCGACTCCTGTCGCTATACCTGCATGGGATTACTAGGGATTTGTTACAAATGATTCATTAAAAACAGTCGCTACACCTGAACTCGGCGTTACACCCGAAGTCGCTATATCCACATGAATTTTATACTAAAGTATGCTTCAAATTCAAGGGACTTACATAAGACGTCGCTGTAGCACGATGGTCGCTATAACCAATGATATCCACTGTATATCGATATTTTTGCCCAGCACTAGCCAGGACTACAATGATATCTTAAAAATTGGCTGTTACAGTTAAAAAAGAATATGAAACAGCACAAAGCAGGTCAAGACGTTCTCTAGCTCGATGCATTCCATCGAATAAATGAATAAGTCTCTTCCGTTCGATCAGATTACCCGGAGCAGCGGTCGTCCATCGGCGTGCTATTGGCCGGAAGCGATAGTATTTCAACCCCATTTTTATGCGGTGTGGCCGTCGCCAACTTCGATTTTTTTGCGTCTTGGCGAACAAAGATCGAACGGTCCCCGGGAAGGACAAAGGAGGCCATAAGAAGTGCTTGAATAACGTTTTCTCAAGAGTTTAATAACCTCTTCGTCTCTCACCGATTTTAATCCTTTAGAAGCGCAAAAAGCAATAAAAGCGATAATTAACATATAACGAGTATGTCTTGATTGTTAAGGAATTATGTGTTAGGTATATGAACTAATTTCAGGTGTCATTAACAATTTATAAATACAAACAATTACTTTTAAGGCTCAGTATCCATATTACAAAAATAGAACCCTTATTAATCGCAGCTTTATCAAATGCGAATTTTAAATTTATAAAAAGATATACTAACTGACTGATATATCAACGCACAGCACAAACCCCTAGGTTTAGATACTTGAAATTTTAAATAGACGTTCCTTACACAGCGGAAGCGTGCACTAGAAAAGGAACTTTAAATATTCAACCTTTTAAATAGTGAAAAGGGGGATTAAAGTTTGTTATTTCAATTAAGGCATAGCCCAAACCATTCAGTCAAGAAACTTGAAATTTTGGTTTCTTATACAACTGTATATTCCACTATAAAATAAATTTTCAAAATGCTACCTTAAACGTGTAAGGGATATAATTGAAAAAAAAAAATACTGGTGTGCAAAGGAAGAAAAAGTAGGGAAAGAGCGAATATAAAGATAGGAGACGAAAAATTAGAAGAAGTGACTGATTTTAGATACCTAGGAAGTCAGATAAGTCAGGATGGAAGGAGTAGTAGGGATATAAAGCAGAGGATAGCGTATGGTCGTGTCGCCTTTAATAAAAAGAAGTCACTTCTATGCTCGCGAACGGTTAATTTAGAAATTCGAAAAAGGTTGTTAAAGGTGTATGTTTGGAGCACGGCGTTGTACGGATGCGAAACATGAACAGTGGGCGCGGTGGAAAAGAAAAGGTTAGAAGCGTTCGAAATGTGGTGTTACCGGCG